ACTGCGAGCTGCCGACCTATATGCCAAATTATCGAAATGCGAATTCCACCAGGAAAGAATAGATTACCTGGGTTATCATATATCCCCACAGGGCATTGAAATGGACCCCAAGAAGGTCAGAGCAGTACTAGAATGGGCACCACCTCACACAAGGAAGCAGTTGCAAAGTTTCCTGGGTTTCGCAAACTTTTACCGCCAATTCATCCCTTCGTTCGCCCAAATAGTCCTGCCCCTCACGAACTTACTAAAAATGAAGGGAGAATCCTCAGTGAAAACCAGCCAGCCACTAAAATGGACAATAGAATGCCAAGCGGCGTTCGAGAGCTTAAAGAGACTTTTTTCTGTCGAACCCGTACTGAGGCACCCAGACACGGATAAGCCTTTCGTAATACAGGCGCACACAAGCAATGTGGCACTGGGGGCTGTATTATTACAAGAAAACGATGAAGGGGTATTGCAACCGTGCGCGTACACATCCAGGAAACTCGCTGAAACGGAACAGCATTGGCCCATGTGGGAAAAAGAGGCATACGGGGTGCGTTGGTCATTACTTACATGGCGCCATTTCCTTGGGAATAAAATCCCTTTTAAGGTCTGGATGGACCACAAAACCTAGAAGTCTTTTTTTTTATAAAGATTTTATTGAGTTTTTTTTTCATAAACATATGTTAATTTTTCCAATAAACGAGCTGTCTGGGATTAGCTATACTAATCATATTCAATTCCTAATCCTTCATTCTTTCCTCTAACCAACAATAAAATAAGTCCCAAATTTGATAGTAGTCTGTGTCTTCTTTATCTTTCAGTCTCAAACCTGGAAGCCTTAAAAACACCCAGGAACCTCACTCCCAAGCAAGCCCGCTGGTCCCAGCATTTTCACCAATTCCGTTTCACGCTCAAGCACTTGCTGGGGGGGAGAACCTCCTGGAAGATGCACTGTCTTGCATGCCCCAATATAACAGCATGCGAGCCATCGATTCTAAACGACTTATGGCGGAACCACAACTGGCAGCGCCAATAACCACCAGAGGCCAAGCTAAATTAAAGCCGCAGCTGGGTAGCCAAACCGGAATCGAATTCTGGAAAACTTTGGAAACAAATGAATGGTTCCAGAAAAATAGACACATGTGCACAATCAAGGACGGACTGCCACCCAGAGGGTCATTTTCATGCAGCTATGCCATGACACAAAAGCAGCAGGGTATTTTGGATTGATAAAAACATTACATTTAATTAAAAGGCAATTTTGGTGGCCGTCCATGAAAAAGGACATAGAAAGTTACGTGGCCAGCTGCCCAATGTGCGCAACTGCCAAGAGGTTGCAATGGAAATCGCCTGAACTGTTACAAGCAGTGGCGAATCCCTCAGCCCCCTGGAAAGAAATTGCCATGGATTTTATAGTGGAATTACCAGAAAGCAATGGAAACACTGTCATCTGGACAGTTAGGGACTTGTTTTCCAAACAGGTGCACTTTATCCCTTGCCAAAAGATTCCCACCGTAAAAACATTAGCGAAAATATTCGTGCAGCATATCTACAGACTGAATGGGGCACCCCAACGCATAATATCTGATAGGGGAGTGCAATTTACGTCAGAATTTTGGAAGGAATTTTTATCCCTCTTAGGAACCACTCAGGGACTATCATCTAGTCATCATCCTCAGTGTAACGGCCAATCACAACGCTCAAACTCCGTACTTGAGCAATACTTAAGATGCTTTATTAATTTCCAGCAAATGAATCGGATGGACCTACTCCCTTTCGCAGAAGTTGCCTACAATAACGCAGTCCACTCCAGCACACTCCTTTTCAAATAGCTACCGATCAAAGTTTTAACCCTATGCCAGAACTAATCCCAAATGAACCGGCAATTCCATCACTGAAAGAATGGATAGAACAATTACAAAACACCTGGCCAATAGTTAGAAAAGCCTTAGACGAAGCTAGGCAAGCATACAAAGCACAAGCAGATAAAAAAAGAGTTGAACCCACACCATTCATTATAGGAGAAATGGTATATTTGTCTACAAAATAACTAAAATCCCTACAACACTGTAAAAAACTTGGACCAAAATATATAGGACCTTTTCCAATTAAAAGAATCATAAACCCAGTAACAGTAGAATTAGAACTATCCCAAAACCTCAGGCAAATACACCCAATTTTTCACTGCAGTTTGCTGAAAAGAGAACAACAGTCAACCTTACAGCCAAAAATTCCCCACCACCACCACCTCCAATCATGGTGGAAGGAGAACAACACTTCGAGATAAAGGAAATCCTAGATTCTAGGAGATATCATGGGACAACTCAATACCTAGTAGCATGGAAACACCTCCCCTCCTCAAAAAACGAGTGGGTCCATAAACATCATGTTAGAGCCCCGAAGCTGTTAAAGAAGTTTCATACAGAGTATCCTAACAAGCCAGACTAACTTTTATACCTGTTTTGTTTTCTCTACAGGTGGATCTCTCTTATTTGTAAGGGGGGCAGGATGTCAGAATCCAGTTATATTTCATTTCTATCTATCTTCTCTGATATAAAACTAATTCTCACTCTCTCCTAGATCTGTCACACTAAGGGGATGGGGGTATGCATGGTTTTATTACTTTCACTTCCTCTATTCACTACAAAGTAACCTCTTGTTGATTCGCTTCGGGTCTGCTAACCATCACAATGTAACCATTTGCCTTTCATCCTATGCCCCTCTGAACTTCTCCTCCTTACCGGCCAGCGAGGAAAAGGGGGGGTGAAAAGATGCAGCCTCTGGGATCTGTGTGAAGAGATGTTGAATGATCGTGCCAATGGAGCCGGATTGATGTTATCTTTCCTGGAGTTAACACTTAGAAATCTGCCGGTTTGAATCGCCCGGAAGAACTGCGAGGTGGGAGGCTGCTTAGGGACACCTTAAAACATTGAATTGTAAGGGAATCCCTCAGATCCTGTCTATCATTCCTGCTAACAATTTCTCTTAATAAAAGTTCCTGTTGGAAGAAACCATTTCCAAGAGTTCTGCTTTCTTAAGATGTGGATTGAAGTGAATCTTTACACTTGGACCAAAATATATAGGAACTTTTCCAATTAAAAGAATCATAAACCCAGTAACAGTAGAATTAGAACTACCCAAAAATCTCAGGCAAATACACCCAATTTTTCACTGCAGCTTGCTGAAAAGAGAACAACAGTCACCCTTACGGCCAAAAATCCCCCCCACCTCCAATCATGGTTGAAGGAGAACAACACTTCGAGATAAAAGAAATCCTAGATTCTAGGAAGTATCAGGGGGCAACTCAATACCTAGTAGCATGGAAACACCTTCCCTCCTCACAAAACAAGTGGGTCCATAAACATCATGTTAGAGCCCCAAAACTGCTAAAGACGTTTCATACAGAATATCCCAACAAATCAGACTAACCTCTATACCTGTTTTGTTTTCTCTACAGGTGGATCTCTCTTATTTTTAAGGGGGGCAGGATGTCAGAACTCATTCCTATTTCATTTCTACCTATCCCCTCTGACCTAAAAACAAATCTCACTTTCCCCTGGGTTCTGCCATACTCCCAAGGGGGAGGGGGAATGTGCCTGTGGGGTTATTGCTTTCCCTTCCTCTATTTGCTACAATGTAACCTTTTGTTTATTGACTCTGTGTCTGCTATCCATTACAATGTAACAAATTGCTTCCTATGCATCTCTCTGAACCTTCTTCTCCCTAACCAGGCAGCTAGGAAAAGCGGGGGGGATAGTACAAATCTCCGGAACCTGGCTTATTTCTCCATTCTCAAAAGGAGGTATGAAGAGCTGTGGAACATCACACTACAAACGGAGCCGGATTGATGTTATCTCCCCTTTCCCATGATGGAATTAACACCTAGGGATTGGCCGGTCTGAATCGTCCGGATGAACTGTGGGGTGGGGTTTGCTTAGGGACACTTTAAAGTAATCGATCTGTAAAGAAATTCCTCAGATCCTGTCTATTATGCCTGCTATCAACTACTCTTAATAAAAGTTCCTGTTGGAAGAAATTGTTTCCAAGAGTTCTGCTTCCTTAAGATGTGGGATTGAGGTGGGTCCTTACACACACATTCTACAATAGACCAAGCAAAAAGACAGATCCACACAGAATGCATTCAAATACAAGATTCACACAGATTCGTGTTTATAGCATGTGATTCGTGTAGCTAGACCAGACATGTCAAACATAAGGTCCAGGGGCCGGATGTGGCCCATGAAGTGGTTTCATGTGACCCGCGAAGTCATTCTGGAAACAGTGAGGGAACGGCCCCCGCTGCCTTGGCCCTGGCCCAGGCCGGCCGGAAGCCAATGTACAATTTTGTGGTGGCTATCTATGCTGAAACACATTCAGTCTTAGCTCCACAAGGCCGTCTAGAAACAGCGAGGAACCAGCCCCTTTGTTGGCCCCGCCCCCTGGGTGCATGCTGGGGAGGTGTCACCCTTTGTGAGGAATGAAGAAATGGACAATGCCTTGGCGCTTGCCCCGGTCCCACCCCCTTCTGCCAGAGACCCTCAGATCTGTCCCACACCTGCCCAGGCCCCCACAGTCACCCTTGATGTCCATGCCACACCCATTCCATCCATACCCACCCAGTAGGCCGCACCCACCCGGCCCCCCGAGGGCAACCACAATGCTGATCCGGCCCTCAATGAAATTGAGTTTGACACCCCTGAGCTAGACTGTCTCTAGGAAAGAAAAAAAATAGGTATATCCAGTCACCAACATCACTTGTTATATATTGTCATATTTATTGCTAACTCAATATAAATCAATAATTGTTAGGTATGCTTCAGATGTCACTGTAGCCGTGTGTATGCTTTCTTAGTCCCTTCATTGGAAGCACCCGGGTCATTAACAGAATCATACATATTGAAAGAGATATTTACATAATCATATCAGGTAAAATTTATCTTTGTAACTATTAACAAAATATTATGCTCTAATTTCTCGTGGATCAATATACTGGCAATATAAAAAAAGATACTCACTTTTGCACACCAAGAATGATATAGTCTGTCCCAAAGCTCCAGAACTTGCTTTTCAATCACAGCAGTACTATTTACTTTTTCTCCTAATATTTTATCAAGCTATAAAATATAAAAGATGTGTCAAAATATTTGAAAAGGAACATATTCACTGACCGATTATGTATTTTATATTTACTAAATACCCATTAATCAAAGAAACTATTTTAGGTACAAAAATGCTCATCCCATTTATTCATTCACTTGCTAGAAATATTGCAAATATTGAAAAAAATAGATTTACAAAAATTAATATATTTTTTTCAAGGGCCTTTATTTATTAAGAGAATGTTTTATATTATCATTCAGTTTGAAAACATTACATAGCATTTGAATAGTATTTAAATTGTAACAATAATAATTTCAGTTGTTATGGCGGGAGTCCTCTCGGAGGCCAAGGCCGGTCCTGTCTGGGGGGCGCGGAGTGGTAAGGGAGGAGACTGGGGGGCTGGCGGAGGGTGGTGTGATAGGTACGGTCAGTGGGAGGGGCAGGTATGGCGGGAGCAGAGGACCATATCGGGTTTTGGGAGCACGCACACGCTACTTACAAGCTTGTGGGTGCTCCGATCCTCAGAG